TATGCTCACTTAAACATGTGTCCCTCACACTCCAGCTGCAAAGAGTACCTGCCAAGCTGTAGAAAACATTCATACGCAAAGTCCTAAGCCCACGTTTACAGAACAAACTGAAGGAGTCACACCCACTGAAATGTCCAGCAAGAAGAGTTGGAGGTGCAGCCAGTGGAAGAGCACATCCCCAACCTAAGCACAGTCCTGGTGTTTGACGGCATGAAGACAGACAAGGGGCCGGGGAGCGGGAGCACTGCTTACTCTTCCAGTAAGAGTACTATGTTGGGTGACCCACAGTCACCTGTAACTCCAGCTGAAACTCCCTTCTTGGAGCCTCCACAGGCGCTCTCTCTCTCTCACTCTCTCTCTCTCTCTCTCTCTCTCTCTCACACACACACACACACACACACACTTGGCAAACAATCACACAGACACACAGGTACTCATGAATAAAAACATTTAAAGGTGGAGTCTTTGGTATTTTACTTTAAAGGTGAGCCTTTTAATTTTGTATCCTTCTGTCCTATTTGAATTTATAATACGCATGTAAAGTACATACATCAAATGTAATGTTTTAAAATGCATAACCTAATTACGTTTAATTATAAAAAACAGGAGGTATCAAGTCAGTGAGATTACGGCCCTTTTGTTTCTGTGATACATTTTTGTGTTTTATAAAACTACTATGTGTTTCTAAAAGAAAACAACTGCTTGCTCAGAAGGGGGAGGGGCAAAAAAGTAAAGCTCAGCGTTTAGGCATCTGTGCCTATTTGGAGACTTTTCATGCCAGAGCCTTCTTAACTAAATCCTCATTCAAGCAGACTATCATCTCTGACTCCAAGAAAATGAGCTGGCTGAGACAAGGCAAACACTCAACGGTGGGGTGCAGAACTTGAAAGCTACTCTTTCTTCCCTTATCATAAGGCGCACAATACCCCTTATCACTAGCGTCTCGGGGCAGGCCAGTTGTAGTCTATCCCAACAGCCTGCAAACTTCTTAGAAAAGGGTGGAATCTCACCAGCCCCATCCGCCTTTCGTTGTGTTATTAATACGATAGAGTCTCAAACACTTGTTGAGTTACCGTACACTTCTTTCGGCTCCGACTGTCTTCGAGAGACATAAGAGTGTCAAACAAAGCAAACTAGCAGCAGACAAAACGACAAAGCTACTCCGATCTAACTTGTCTCCGACACACTCTGAAGAAGTTCTAAGTATGCCCTGATCCAGGGTCCACCACTAACTGCATGGAGTTTGCGTAAGTTGAAGTACCTCGGTTGCAAACTCCAAGGAGTGGATTCATACATCCCCCTCTTCCACGCCCCCACCGACTCAGGCACAAACTTCAGGTCTCAGGGTGAGGCGTCAGGGAGAACACCGGCCAAGCCCCTACTTGTCCCGCGACAACCTGTAACTCTTTTTTCCTACTCCGATCACCCGCCCTCCACTCCCAAACCCGTAAAACTCAACTCCAAAGTCTCCCACCTGCGGCGAAGTGCAGAGGAGAAGACTTTCGGCCGGCCATGTCCTTTGCATTTACGTTCGCTGCGTCCACCAACCTCTTCACCCGGGACACGTCCCCATTGCGACAGGCCTCCAGCAGCTCCCGCAGAGCCCCGCTCACGGCTGGGACCCCCGGGCCGAGGCCCGCCGCCCCGGGTCCCAAAGTTGCTGTGGAGCCAACTGCGGCCGCCTCGGGGCTTTCCGCTAAACTCGAGCCAGGGGAGGACGGGGAGGAAGACGAAGAAGAAGTCGGGGAAGAAGTGGACGACGCGGAGTTGTTACCGCCACCGCCGGCTGGGCTGGGAGCGACTCCGACGGCGGCGGAAGCTGCCGGGACCGCGGCCGTCGCTGCCACCGAGCAGACGGCGCCGTCCACCGGGTCGGGAGATCGCGGCCTGTCGGGCGGGTCCC